AACCCACCTGTCCAATTTCGCAGTCCATTTTGTCGGCTAGACAACAACCAAGTACCCTCCAAGTAATAAACTTAGGATAATTTCTCCAAAAAAATTGCACCAACAACTCTCCTTCAATCAAGAGAATATTTGGTCCATGGACAAAGTGGTTGTGAAAAAGTCAATACAAATCAGGTGAACTGGTCAACATGACATTTTGTTCTCTGAAACCCAACTTTCATCGAAGTCTCATTTGTGGGCGCCGGCAGCCTCAGCTCACAATCTCCCTGCGGTGCGTACTCAACACTGTTAATAATAATCATCCTCAACCTCACTTTTGTGTAAAATTTCACCCCTACATAGAACCACCCCTCGTCTTTCTCTCTCCCGTAAGTCTCGTTCACCGAGGGCCCCACCTTCAACGGTCCACCAATATAGCTCAAGTCAAACGCCGTTGTATTCTTCTTCTGCTGATGGAACAAAGGGAGAATAATGTCTTCAAGCTTATCTCCGTTGTAAAACGCCGTCGCCTGCAAATGAGTCGTGATGGAAATGAATCAAATTATCAACAGGCGTTTTGCTAATTGTTCGTCTCATTATTGGATTGTATTCTATTCGATTCGGTAATTCATTCAACAATCAAATAAGTCATTTTCTAGATTTTTTAGATATTAGCCCCTCAACTATTTAGAAGTTTGGAATGTCCCGCAAATCATCAAAATTGTTATTAAGCAAGTCTCTTGAATCTTAAGTTATTTTGAAAATTAGCCTCAAGTCATTGAAACCGCTATTAGGTCCCATGATTCTCATAGGTGTTTATAGTAATTCCTCCAATTAATCTGCTATTTTCATTTGGAGCATCAACTTAAAACGACTCATGAAAACTGGGAGACCTGATAACAATTTCAAGGCTTCGAGAAATTAATTTACCAATATTATAGATTTAAGGGACTAATACCAAAAAAACATGTACAACTTAACTGGATGTAATTCAATTTATTTTCTTATCCAATAATCGTTTAGAATTTCAACACTTTGGTATTTAATTCGACTAGCTAGTTTCCAGCTGCCCAATTACCTGAACGTGCTTGTAGTAGATTTCGCCGCGCTTGTTGGGGTTTCGAACGGTAAGGTTGGCATAGAGGTTGAAGGAGAGAGAGCTATCGTTGAGATCAAAGCGGGTGAGATTGGCGGACTCCACGTAGACTTTGAGTGGTTGGGGCGTGTAAATTAGCCAGAGAGTAAGAACAGTGATGCCGATGACGATGATGACGATGGTGAGGGCTTTGAACGCGTGGCAGAGGAGGGCATAGGGAGAGCACTGATGCATCGTGGAGGGGATTCTGGGCCTTTGAGTGGGCTGGTCTGCTGGGATTGTAGGCCCATAGTAGGATTCGTTGAGGTACGCCTCTTTTGGTTGCTGAGCCATTGGAGAGAGAGAGATGGACGAAGAAAATGAAGAGGAAAAGATGGAGGACACTTGAGTTTTTATATAGATGATCTTAATCAGTTTGGAGCTGTCAAGTTTGAATGGAGAGATAATTTCTGAGATGGTGTGATTTAATTAGGGGCCAGGTACGATTGGACTTTGGACTGGTTCTCCATGTTGATGACAAAAGTCGTTGTTTGACTGGACCGCTTCGTATGTATTAATTAACTTATATTAAGGGCATGCTTGGTATGAGGTTAAAGAAGAGTTAAAAGTCGTCATGTTAAAATTTTGTTTTGAGCTTTGCTACAGGGACCCAAAATATGGTACTAATAGAGGGGACAAGTGATGTGTCTCCTTCTTATTGGATAATGAGTTGGCCATCATTAATGATGATCAACTCATTATTCAATAGGAGGGAGACACATCACTTGTCCCCTCTATTGGTCCCATATTTTGGGTCCTTGAGGAATTTTTCTTTTGTTTTACCCTTGCTTGGTATCTTGTTAAACTTTAGCCTAGGTTAAAGTTTAGCTACATATGTGGTCTAACTTTTAACCTGGTTGGGCGTAGGATGATCGATGTCCGTGAAAACTAAAAACGCATATGTGTTTAAACTTAAGGGTGTGTTTGGTAAAAATCTCTTAACCTGGTTAAGTCCTTAATCAGATTACGATTGGTCCAGGTGGAAGGTGTTCTAGTCTTAATCTCGTTAAGTAAGAGAAGATTAATGAATTAAAAGAAACTAAACTAGTTCTGGTCAAGTTTTTGCCGAAAACAAGTTTAGCTTCTTAACCTAGATAAATCCGTATGTACCATATATAGTAGACATAGCCAAATCAAATGCATAGCTAACGCAAGTATTATTTGTTTTTTTTAAATTAAAGAACAATCATGCTTGCTTGTTTCTATTTGTCTAGTTTTTATATAGGGTTTTTTTTCATCGAAACCATTAAGTTTACAAAACAGATGGAGACCATGCATCATTAATGTTGTTTTTGGAAGAAAAAAAACCAACTTATAAATAGTACTCCCTCCTAATTTACCACTTCTGATCAAAATCTGTACAATAATTAATAGGGAAAAATGCTTCCAGCCCCCAAAAGCCAAGTGAACGTGCTTCCTACCCCCAAGACTTGGTCAATGGGTGTTTTACCCCTAAAAATAAAGATTGTGTTCTCTGAGCCCCCAAAACACAAAACCCAAGACATTAAAACATGCGAAGACCATAATACCCTTCTCTCTCTCTTTCTTTTTTTATTAAAATATGATGAGGATTATTTTATTATTTCTCTATCTCTCTCTCTCTTTATCATGATGTACCAAGATGATAGTTGAAATGATTGATGAGGATTATTTTATTATTTTTGTTTTTTTATTATTTTCGTTGTTTGTATTGGGAGGTTGTTAAAGTTACGGGTTGATTGTTAAGGTTACGGGTTGGTTGTTAAGGTTAAGGGTATGTTGTTAAGGTTATGAATCCTCTCTCTCTCTTTCTTTTTTTATTAAAATATGATGGGGATTATTTTATTATTTTTGTTTTCTCTCTCTCTTTATCATGATGTACCAAGAGGATAGTTGAAATGATTGATGAGGATTATTTTATTATTTTCGTTTTTTATTATTTTGGTTGTTTGTATTGGGAGGTTGTTAAAGTTACGGGTTGATTGTTAAGGTTACGGGTTGGTTGTTAAGGTTAAGGGTTTGTTGTTAAGGTTGTGGATTTGTTGTTAAGGTTATGGATTTGTTGTTAAGGTTACGGGTTTAATTGTTAAGGTTACGGGTTTAATTGTTAGGGTTACCTATCTAAAGATCCTCTTGGTACATCATGATATAACAATCAACCCGTAACTTTAACAACCTCCCAATACAAACAACCAAAATAATAAAAAACGAAAATAATAAAATAATCATCATCAATCATTTCAACTATCCTCTTGGTACATCATGATAAAGAGAGAGAGAAAACAAAAATAATAAAATAATCCCCATCATATTTTAATAAAAAAAGAAAGAGAGAGAGAGAGGATTCATAACCTTAACAACAAACCCTTAACCTTAACAACCAACCCGTAACCTTAACAATCAACCCGTAACTTTAACAACCTCCCAATACAAACAACCAAAATAATAAAAAACGAAAATAATAAAATAATCCTCATCAATCATTTCAACTATCCTCTTGGTACATCATGATAAAGAGAGAGAGAAAACAAAAATAATAAAATAATCCCCATCATATTTTAATAAAAAAAGAAAGAGAGAGAGAGAGGATTCATAACCTTAACAACAAACCCTTAACCTTAACAACCAACCCGTAACCTTAACAATCAACCCGTAACTTTAACAACCTCCCAATACAAACAACCAAAATAATAAAAAACAAAAATAATAAAATAATCCTCATCAATCATTTCAACTATCCTCTTGGTACATCATGATAAAGAGAGAGAGAAAACAAAAATAATAAAATAATCCCCATCATATTTTAATAAAAAAAGAAAGAGAGAGAGAGAGGATTCATAACCTTAACAACAAACCCTTAACCTTAACAACCAACCCGTAACCTTAACAATCAACCCGTAACTTTAACAACCTCCCAATACAAACAACCAAAATAATAAAAAACAAAAATAATAAAATAATCCTCATCAATCATTTCAACTATCTTCTTGGTACATCATGATAAAGAGAGAGAGAAAACAAAAATAATAAAATAATCCCCATCATATTTTAATAAAAAAAGAAAGAGAGAGAGAGAGGATTCATAACCTTAACAACAAACCCTTAACCTTAACAACCAACCCGTAACCTTAACAATCAACCCGTAACTTTAACAACCTCCCAATACAAACAACCAAAATAATAAAAAACGAAAATAATAAAATAATCCTCATCAATCATTTCAACTATCCTCTTGGTACATCATGATAAAGAGAGAGAGAAAACAAAAATAATAAAATAATCCCTATCATATTTTAATAAAAAAAGAAAGAGAGAGAGAAGGGTATTATGGTCTTCACATGTTTTAATGTCTTGGGTTTTGTGTTTTGGGGGCTCAGAGAATAGATTCTTTATTTTTAGGGGTAAAACGCCCATTGACCAAGTCCTGGGGGTGGGAAGCATGGTCACTTGGCTTTTGGGGGCTGGAAGCATTTTTCCCTAATTAATATACAAACTGTCAATGTTGGCCCCGTCCATATATATCATGTGAATTTCACGTGAGTTAGCTCCCTTCATAGGTGAAACATTTATCTTTTCCCTTCCCATTTTTTTTTTTCTCTACGGTGATCTCATGGTTTCATTTCATCCGTGTCGCCGTCACAATTGGATGAGGAAAAGGAAGAAGTCAAGGAGGAGTTTGAACAGCTCGAGAAGGTAGTTGAAGAAGAAGAAGAATTTTTGATTACACTGAAGTTTCCAATCCCTGAATCCATCACCCGTCTCCAATCCCTCCGTGGTGCTCTCTCCGGCTTCCTCTACCAAAATCGTAGACCCCGTCAATTCCTCCCCTAACGCCGTCTCCAACATCAAAACCCGTATCAATTCCTTCCTCAATGCCGTCAAAATTAACCCTCGAACCCGAATCACCTTCACCGGTTGATGACAGGTAGGACTCTGAGATTGAAAACCGTGAAATTCACGTGGTAATATTGGGTGGGGGCAACTTTGATAGTTGGGGTATTAATGGCACAAGTTTTGACCAAAAGTGTCACATTCCAAGGAAATAGATCGACGAGGTGGTTTCTATAAAAAAAAGAAAAAAAAAAAGAAAAATATTAATGGACTGATATTTATTAAAACGGTCCTATTTCATGGAGGACCCGTTAAAGCCGCAAATACGTCTTTCGTTCTAGAAGGGAAAAGTTGCCTCGTTCTAGAAGGGAAAAGTTGCCATGTTGATATTTCTTGTTGATTCTCCATGACATGTTGGTATATTTTGTTACTCGGGCGATGATATAGTATAATTTATGGACCACAGTGACAAGTAAAATTTATTTTTTGCCGAAGCTAAATATCCTGCTAAATAGAATAACATGATTCATCATGTGCATCTGACGCGGCCTGACGATATTGCGGGTAGTTGTGATCATTCAAATGAGTTGAAAGGGAGTTTATTGCTCTAACTTAGGGCTAAAAAAAGGTAGGGTTCGAATTGGAAGTGTTCTTCTTACTCCTAAGATTAAATTGGTCAGCATAACTGAAATTAGGGAAGATTTTGTACTCTCCCTCACACATGAATAGAGAAAGAGAGGGGATTTTTTGAG